GTTGTTGTTAATTTTCTCTGGTTTATACTCCTACCAGAAGAAAGGTCTCTAGTTATAAGCAAGGGTGAAGGAGTGAGAGAAAATCAAAGTTGTCATACCATACCAACCCACAACCAATGACATCTAATGGTCTCTATTTGGGTAAGTCTTTCAACTGCACCTCTCCAAATAAAGTGCAGTGTGAAAATGGGTTTTTCCAGGGACAGATCAAATATGTTGCTATTGCATATCTGACTGCTTCTCATAGCTTATATTTTTTTTCTATTCTTTTTTTTTTTTAATTTTTGGATTACATCTTTAATGATATTTGGGTAGCAAACTTTCTAATTTCTTACACATTTGAAACAAAATACATATTACCCTCATTCAATGATGGATTGGTTTGATAGAATTATAAGTTTTGACTCAATTTTTCTTGGAAACTTGTGAACAATGTTCTGGGAACCGTTACGTCAGATGGAAAATGGATATCAGATTTGTAATTTAATTTCTTCACCTATAAAATAAAAATAATTATAGCATTTACCTTACAGGTTGTTGAAAATAAAATTGGTTAACGTGTAAAGTGCTCAGAAAAGTACTAGACATAACAATTTGAAATATTAGTTATTATTCTAGGTATCTGCATGTTTGAAAATAATGATACATTGTCGTCACAATTCAAATATGGTGCCCAATTTAATATACAACTTTGGCTCAAAACCATGTTTCTTAGAGATTAATATTAATGATATTATTATTTATGCATACTAGTCATATTCTCCTTTATTCAATCTTGAATTTACCTTACTTAACTGCCTAAAATCTTTCTGTCCACATATGCAAAAGTTAGGTCAAATAATTTTCTATTTGTCCTTATACAATATAAACCTTAAGTAGTAATCAATTGCTACATTTACAGACAAATGCACTTTCTGTCATTTACTTAAGATATAAGCAAAACAAATTTGAAAAACCAAAACTATGAATCAAATATTGTGATGGTGACAATTAACATACATAGACCATCTTGAGATAATTATAATTTTTCCAACCCACAGCCCTTATTTTCATACTATTCACTTTCCAAGTGGCTGTTTAAGAGTTAAACCAGTATATATAGTGTAAGAACTTAAGTATCTGGCATTCAAATAAGTATTAATCAATGCATATAGAAAATCTAAATACTCTCAAATTATGTTAGTAATATTTAACTAGATACTTTTAACCAATATATAATTTATTTCCTCCTGAAATAATCTGAGTTGAATTTTTCACATTGAATTTAAGTAAAAAATATCAATTAACAAAATATAGTTCTTTGTATTATAACTCAAAGAAATAACATGAAAATATAAAAAAAAACCAATTCAAACAAAATCAAAATTTGAAACAAAGTAGCTGTAAAATAAATGTCAATGTAAAATTAGAAACACCAAATGCATTATAAATTATGGTACTTATTATTGGTTAGAATATGTTAATAATTAAGATAAAGTCATACGCTTAATTCCCGGATGTACCAGTTTACTCTGCTTTGTTTCAGAGACACAGAATGAATCACAATTCCCAGCTGTCTTGGAAGTGTGCATTATTGATCAAGAGGGATACACAGCCAACATGTGGACATATTAGTCCAATTCCATCGCAATGACAAGAAAAACAATTCTGAGCACATTCCCTACACAGAGTGGAGAAGCAGCTTAATTTTTATTTCAGTTTGGTTTTGAGCATGTGTCCCTTGTAGACAGATGCTTAATGATAGTCTTTGTGATGTTAATAATGATGAGGAAAAGATACATTTTAAAACTATAGAACAGATTTCTAACACAGGTAATTTTAATATTGTGAGCTTTGTGAACAACTCAGCCATTTTAACCACACATTAGTTCCTGAATTTCACTGGATTAAATTATAATATGCATATTCAAATTTCTTATTGGAAAAACACTGACAGTCTTGCTCTGTGATATAAGAAAAATGCAAAAAAAAGTCTGAGATAAATTTCTCTTATAGGACACATAGGAGAAAAATAGTACTTTGTGATATGGTATACCATTGCTCAATATTCAGAAAATAGGTAAAAAATTATGGTCATAGGAGAAATACTCCTAAATAATCCAAAAGTAGTTTATTCTTATTTTTATAGAATAATCACTCCTCTGTCTGAAGCCTAAAAATCATTCACGTACTTACCATGACCCTGATTTTTCCCTGTTATCTTACTCTAAGATAAATTTTACAAGTTCTCTAAACAAAGTGAGACTGGAACCATGGGTTTGTTGTGATGTTGTATTCATAAAATTAAAAGTATTATCAGAAATGTACCTATAGAGAGATACCCCTAACTTTAACTGGTGGAGTTAATTAGCATAAACAAGTATTCAAAATGTGTAGGAAGAGAAGAAAACCTGAATATAATATAGTGGAAAGAGATGTTTTCCCATATTTCCTATTCAATACATACTTTAGGCATGGTGGTTCAGTTTTCTAGTATTACATAGGTCACATTGCTTCAATATTAGTTTATGGACTTACATGATAATTTAATCATCTTATATAAAGAGAAAATTTGTAGTCAGAAAAAAACTAAAATTTTTGGAGTGTTCACACAATATGCCATGCCCTTGGCTGGACACTTTATAAACATATCTAATTGAATCCTCATAATTAATATTCTCCTCTTCAGTGAAGTGTCAAAAAGTTGTCCAAGGGCACCAAACTAGTACAGCCCTAGTCGTAAACAAGTGATGTCTCACTGTTCCACAGTATCCAGTTTTTCTTTTTTCTGTGATAGTACATTATTCATCGGGGTATATTGTTGCCCACCTAGGTTACATTTTTTCCAATTCCTTTCAGCCATGTGTGCATATTATAACCATACTCCAGCATAATTTAAACATGCAAATTCTAAATTGTTTCTTATGTTCCCTCCTATAGGCAAGTGTGAAAATGCAATGGCAAGAACAGAGTGACCATCTTGAACCACAAGACAGAAATTATACAAAAAACAAGAGACAAGGAGATTTAGTCCCTGATAGTATAAAGCTGGTGAGTGTGTCCTGGACAGACTACCTAAACATTTCTATTTGTTTAACTTACTATATTTTTGTGTATGTTTGTATTTTACATTGTGTGTAGTGTAACTCCTTATTAAATAGTCTTAAATATTTTATGACTAAAATAATACCATTAATACATTTTTGGTAGGTAATTACAGTTTTGATGGTAATCTCAAATAAGATCTAATCTATCTTAATATTAATAACCAATCATGACTTATCAAGACATTCTGCTTGCAGTATAGAGAACACACAAAAAAATCAAATATCAAGTTTTCCATTCTAGATATTATATATATTATATTTCCAGGACATATTAATGTACATTTAGTTTAAAACACACACAATGAAAACAACTATAATACTAAATAAAACAAAAAGATGAAGTAGAGATGATTTTAATAAGAGAAATTGCATTATAAATGATGAAAACCCCTTCTAGCATTGTCGCATTTCTTACTTAAGAAAGTTGTCTAATTCTTGCCTTGGAAAATAAAACTCCACAAAAAAAAAAATACAAGTGTATGAAGAAAACCGAGGAGTGCATAGAGAGCCCTCTGGAGATGAAGATTTATGGTGATGAGGATTGCCTCCTGAACAAAAGTATCACAAATTACCATCATGTAAAGATGATTTGTCCTTATTACCTCCTTACTAAATTTACTTTAACAGTCTCCCATACCATATTTAGAAATCATTTAATTTTAGTTTTTGTAATTTTCCAGCCATTTAAAAATGAGCATATAAATACCATACATGCATAAAATTTTTAACTTTACTTTTCCTTGTGATGAGAAAACTGCTAAATTACCCAAATAATATCATTATATTGAAATTAAGAATTTTTAGTGACTTTAGAAGGAAAGTCATTACCATTAATATTTCATATTCAAGCATTAGCTGCTAGGTGAACCAAGAAGATGATTTGTGAAAGGTAAAGAATCTGAAAGATATGATTTCTGTGTCAATTTGACAGGAATATTTTATTTTTAAAGGCATTAAATATCTTAAAATCTGTGTATTTTTTAAATGTGAAAGTATGCAATAAAATACATTTAACATTCACTTAATAAAATTATGAATTATGTACTACCAAGTGCTGCGTATATATCTATATTTATATACATGCACGTATAGGTCTGTTTATACCTAGCTGAGTCCTATTAGTGTACATGCGAATTCTTTTTTCTGTTTTTCTTTTGTTTTGGTACTCCTTAATTAGCTTTTTCTCTTTCTCAGTAGGGTCAAATTCAGGTCACTGCACAATTACACATAATATCTAAGACTCCTGCAAAATAGACATTTTATTCTATCTCATTTTCTGATTTTCACATTTTTCCTCTCATTAAGGACCTACATGAATCCATATGTGTGGTGCACTATTTTTCTATAATTATAAAAATGTAACTTTGCAAAAAGAGGAAATAACTTTTATAATGAATCAAAGTGCCATGTCTGGCCTTACTCTGTCAGGAGAGCTGCCCGTGCTTTCTGCCTGATCACACACTAAGAATCACGTAGAGAGGCACAGCAAAGACTGGGAAGGGAAATGACATTTTTCTCAACAGTGTGTCTACTTTGAAGAACATACAAAGCTGAGGGCACCTCGTGTCAGTGATTCCAAGGAAAAATTCATGTTTGACAACTACGGAATGCAGTACAAGTTTTTGTGATCTGACTGTTTGCAGTATTTGAGAAAATGTCAGAGTTGCAGTAATTATCAATACCAAATGATACATGTGCTTTCCCATTTTATAAACAACATGAGATTATAGGGAGGGTTTACTTTTATTTTTGTTGGTAATCTGTTACATTTTATGGTGAACATGTATTTATTTATTTATTCATTTGTGTTAGCCGACTATCAATGAAAATGGTTTAGGATATGGTTTTCTTTAGAAATTATAATTAAATGAATTTATTTTATCACAATAAAAATGCTGATATGTACAATCTTACCAGGTGAAGATAAGGCATAGCAATGTAGATATTAAAATCAAAACTTGATTAAACATTGCAGACTGTGTACGCTGAATGGCTCTGTGTAGATCATTCTAAAATAATACAGAAAAAAACATAATGTAAATTTTGATAAATACTAAATGTGCCTTAGTTTGATACAATTATTACTGTATAATTCACTTCAACTATCCTGTACATATCCATTGTATAAACATTAATTGGAAATAGTAGTATATTTTCATTTTTGTCTAGATCTAAATATAACTTAGTACAGCATTTATATTACAAAGATAATACTATGGGAAGCCCACCAAAACACTAAATTTCAGTTCACTTGCCTTACAGATAACCTAAATAAATGTTGATCTTACGTCTTTAAAACCCTATGGGTTAGCATGATTTCTCACAGAAAATTCTAATTATAAAGATTGAGAATAATATGTTCAATTAAGGGGAAATAATAGCTAGGTGAAACCACAATCAAAGCTCATCATCAGGAAAATTAACATAAATTAGGTAAGGCAATTTATCATAAAACAAAAAAAAATTAAACAGCCAATGAACAATTTTTTAAAGTTTTAATTCCATTAATATTTTTAAAAATCAATTCAAGATATACTATACTTTTTAATTTTCTAACTGTCAGACAATATAAAATAATATTCAGAGTCTTTTAACATACTAAAAATAAGCACTCATATAAGATACTGCTCATATAATTTGTTATAAATTTCTGAAAGGCAATTTGGTAGTAATAGGTTAAGACTCAAATCTTTTCTATCTTACACATCCAATAATCCATTTGATATGTATTTACTCAATAATAACATAATTTCTAAAATTTAACCTCATGAAAAACATCAGAAATGGGCATTAATATTTATGTATGTTCATCTTTATTACAAAATTATATTTATTATATGAAATAGTGAATATTCATTACTGTTAAAGTATCTAAAATATGTATACAAAATGGCCAAATAAACTGATATGTCTCTATATAAATTTTTATGTATCTATTAAAAATTATTTGAAGAAGGATATTTAATAACACAGAAACTTGTTCACTATATATTACTATGTAGTATATGATAAAAATTCTAATTATGAATTTGAACACATGAGGTAATTTCATGTGTGATAAATGTTAGTGTTTTTGCATAAAAATATTAGGATATAAATAATTATGTATAAATGTAAAATATTACATAGTAATAGCCTATGTGTGACAGATTTATGAATTTTTATAAGTTTTACTTTATAGTTCTCTGTAGACTTCAAATTTTTTATAATTGCCATCCAATAGTCTTAAAATCAGTATAGCATTTGATCAACTTCACCAGTAACTTATCTCAATGAGCCATTCATTCTCTTATCTTCTTTTCCCACTCATTTAACCAGAACTGTTATAAAAACAAATAAGTTGAATGATTTAAATTTTACCTCTCCTTCCTCAGTTTCTATAGGAGAGGTGGTAATGAGTAGAAAAACACATAAAAATTTAGCATCCAGTGAGAAGAGACATAGAAATGAAATGGAAAATGAATCCTAAATTAATACTGCAATACAATTCTTTTGTTCATAGTGATTCTCTAATGGTTCCTATCATAGTAATTTTTTTCCAACAACTAATAACATAGTAATTAACAAAGAACTTTATTTATTCCTGATGTATTTTTATTAGCAATTTAGGCAGTCTACACTTAGTCAAACAGCCTTTTGGGGGAGCTATCAAGATAGTTCAATTATGCTGCCAACCATGTTATAACACCTTTGGCCATGAACTTTCATAGGACTCCATTTATGTGACATAAATGTTTAGAAACATTCTTATCAGTGTAAATACTCAATGTCATCCAAACATTCCTTTTGCCTAAAACTTTTGTCATAATGTCTGTTTAGAATTCATTTATATAAAAATAAGTTTGCTGCCAAAGAAGTATATTTGTAGTGCAGTAGTATTAATTTTTAGCCCTTACTATGCGTATGCCAGATAAACCACTACACGCAAACTTTACACAGATGTATGTATGTGTAAATATGAACGTATATATAATTTCATTTGATCATCACAGCAGGCTTACTATGTATGCACTTCCATTTATTTTGCAGATGACAGTATTAACAGAGAAGCTTAATCATTTGCCAGACATAATGTTTAGCATATAGTGGATCCATATTAACATTTCAGAATGTAAGGCATCAACAGAAAATGTGTTACAGCTTGCTTATTCCAAATCTTGAACACCATCATAAACACATAGTGATCATAGTTATAGACCATCCCTTCCAAGCAGAGTCAGCCTTGGGACAAATGAAACTGTGGCACACTCTGCATTCTGCAGCTCCTACCTCCCACTTGCCTTTCTCCCTCCTAAAATCTCTCTCCCAACTCAACCAAATTTAAAAAGAGGACTTTAAATGAAGGGATTCCAGCTCTCACACAGGGCCTGACAAAACCCCACAGGTTTTCGTGGATTATGATACTGCCTGCAGTTAAGAGGAGCTTGCCAAAATCTCGCAGCTGAATCCTTAAAGCCAGGGGTCCCATTGTATGTCAACAGATTGCCTTGTAAGAAAAGGGTATTTGTATTGAGAAGCCTAATAGTTGGACCAGTCCAAGTAACTGTTAGGTTTTGGTTTAGTGACATTGAATCATTTTTGCTTACTAGTCACAGGTCCTTACAAAGGTGGTAACTTGGTAATATGAGCATTTTAAGATTTTCATTCTGATTAGGATACAGAATACCAGTCATTTAAATTTATGAATTTAAATCATGTATTACTTTAATTATTTAACAATATTTTACCGAGAAGATTCATTTTCACCAACATTTAAATCATGAATTTAAATCATGAATTTAAATTCATGATTTAAATCATGTATTACAATCATGAATTTAAATTCATGATTTAAATCATGTATTACTTTAATTATTTAACAATATTTTACCGAGAAGATTCATTTTCACCAACATTTAACGGAAGCTATTTACCATGACACTAAACAAATGTGTAAGAAGATCAAAAATGAAACACTTGGAAACATAATTATAACTTAATAAATTCCAACACTGTAAATGTATATTTTATACAGGAAAACAAAGCATGAAAGTATAAGACTAGACCCAAAATCATCCCTCTGTTTAATCTAAACATTGAAAATAAGTGAGAAATGGTTTAAAAATATTTTTGTATTTGCACTTCACTTTATACTTACGATCATATTTTCCAAGGCATGTTTGGCAAGCCAACAGTTTAGAAAGACTGGGACAAATAGATTCCTTAAGGAAGGCCAAAATATCTGAAAAACAAAAAGAAACTAAACTTTTATCTTAAAGCCAGAAATCATATCCAGCAGATTAATGAGAAATGTAAAATAGAAAAGTTACTAAAGACAATGTAATAATTTAAAACATGACAAATTCTTTAATTATAAATGAAATGCAAGGATCAAATATGATCTTTCATTGATTGTCTAAGTGTCTCTTAGAGAAATTACTGAAGAAGTACAGAGAAAATAATAAACTCCCACAAGATGTCAGATACTTATGCTAAATCTATGACTAAATCTTTTAGTGTGATGGTTTATAATAGATAGGGGCTCTCTCTTTCCTGCAACTTGAGGTGTTAAGTAGGAACGAAAAGTGAAATGTTTGTCTTTTTATTACATTACCACTTACCCTCTTTGGATTCAACTTTTCTAAGTAACATTGGGGAACTATGTTTAGTTTGAATTATAATAAGTTAGCCTATCGTATAATCTAGTTCCAGGTGCTCTTCTGGATAAATAGCTCAAATTAATTGCCAAAGTGCACAACAGGTTCAGATAATATCTACCTATTTTCAAATTTTTTTCCAAATAAAATTCAAATAAAGTGTTTCAAAGTATAATCCCAACAGACTTTATTATAATTCTATCAAATGGAGATTAAAACATAGTTTTGCAAATGGGAAAGTGCTGAATTACATATTTATGGCACTGCAGTTGAATTTGATCATCTTGGAATTGGTACTACACAGTACTTTGCAAAAAAAAGCAAATTGCTGGTTGTCTGGCTCTTGGCGACTTCCTTACTAAGGAAAGAATTGGAATTACTAAATCCCATAGCTAAACTATAAATAAATGTGTTCTCAGAATAAGAAACTTTTACAAAAACTTGGTTCTAAGTGGCTTCTGAAATTTAAAAAAAAAATCCCTCAATATAAACGAGAAATGAATTCTGTTCTTTTAGACAATACTGGTATTTGTTCACAGGACACCTCCAGACCATATATTTTTAATATATTTCAATCTGCTGTTGTATTAAATCTTATCGATTTTCATTTAATTATGCAATCCATTTATCCAACTAATTTTACTATTTTTTTAGTACCATGATTCCAATAAAAGTCTAAATTCATTTATCTTGTGCACTATATTAATAGTATTTAGCTTTAAAGATTTTACTTAAATATAATAACATCTTTTTAAAGCTCCTTTTAGGACTTACTGAGATAATGAAGGGAACTGCATTAATTATTTCCAAGATGAAGGGTATTCGTAAAATCTGTTCCCAGATGTTTCCCTTCCAAGAAAGAATGAAAAAAAAAAGTCAATTATATTAAATCCTGTTAAAGAGGGGGAAAGGCAGCACACAGAATTTCTCTTACGATAAGGATGTTTACATTAACAGAATACTGAATATTATGTAAAGATTAACAATAAACTTAGACATGTTTTTCTCAGTGTAATTGAACTCTCTCCATTTTCTAGTAACTTTAAGAAGTATAACAAATGTTCATAGTAATCCATGAATATTGCACATATTTTAACCCTATAATATGTCATAGAAGAATGATTGCTGATACCAATAAAACATTAACAGGACCCAAGGTATCATTTAAATTTTTTCACTGTAATTATATTCAGTAATTGTAAAGCATATAAAATAGTTTGTGAAACACACACTTTTTAAAACAATCATTGGCATAGTATTGTTTTTACTTTAATAGAACTTATAGGAAGGAAGGGCTTTTTCAATCCAGAATCTACTCTCCCATCCACATAGTGCAAACATAATAATCAATACTGAATACATACTGAAAATGTGCAAGACCTACTGCAAAAACGAAAACGTGAGACTTCTTATTAACTGATTTTTAACATTTTAAGATGACATCAGAGCATTAAACCCATCATGAGGACCTTATTATTTTGTACCCCTATGCAACTGCACAGATAATAATAATTATAATAATAATGAACTCAGAACTTCCTAAAGCAGTTTATTCTTCTATGAAGAGATCTATGTATTAGAAAAGAATTTGGTATCTGGCATCCCTGTAATTTCCAATTATTCTATAACATTGGTTATAAAATTCGGAGTCTTTCTTAATTTTCCTTGTGACTTCAAAGACTTAAAACATTATGTTGGTGTAATATACCTCTACCTTCCAAAGCAAGGTTCTAGATCAGCTACTACTGATGTGCTAATACAGTAAGTAATAGATAGTGTCAGTATTGGTTTTCACCCTCCTGCAGGTTACATAAAAAAAGTGGTACAGAAAGGAAAGGTGAAAGAAAGAGAAGCAGTGAGAAGGCCTCTATGTAGAGATGTTACAGGTGCTGTGGTGCTTTTCTCATCACTTTAAGCTAGATGAAAAGGGCTCAAGGGAACCACTTAGGTTGACTCAGACATGGAGACTGCATTTGGACAGTGCCTGAAACATTTAAAAATGAAAAAAGCAACGAAAAAAAGGACTGGAAGAAGAGTAAGCCACAATACCTCCAATTTTAAGACAGAGGTGTCCTGTTTCAGGGGAACCGGACAGAGACCCCAATTAATGGAACCTATGGTCATTTTTAAATTGTCTCCAATCAGTAAGACTGAGTGCCCACATGTGAAATGGAACCTAGCAGATATTGGACCTAAGATGCCAGCATCACAACCCTCATGGCTAACCTGAGGTACTGATCCTCCAGTGGCCTCAGCCAAACTCCTCAGCAGGACCACAAAAGCACTACTTGGCAGAAAGAGCCAGCACTTGTACTTTCCCAGAAGAGAACACCACATGAGACAGTAACCACACCAGTTAGGCAACTTAATCCAGATGCTCACTACACTTTACCTCCTGCCCTTTCTCAGCCCTGGAGGAGCCAAAATCAGCAGGCATCAAAAAGAGAGGAAGTGACTACAGGAGATGATCCCTGTGATGATTCCTTGCTCATTCAGGCCTGCAGCTGAGGACAGGCTGAACCCTTCTTAGATGAGAATTTTAAATTTTTTCATATGTTGATCATAAATCCTTAAATACTAAACTGAAATTTGCCTTGTGAATCAAGAGACTATTCTAGAATAAAGTTTTGGCAGCTGGCTTATGGCACCTTATTTCTTGTTCCTTTCAACTCACTCACTGCGCTGCACTACTGCCAATTCCCTGGACCCTCACTCACCCCATTCCACTCCCTTTGAAACTCTTCAACTATTCAGACACTTTTACAGCAATAACAAAAATCCCACTACAACCTTACAAGGCCTTATCTCATTCTCAGCCCTTACTTTAAAGGTCATTCTTTCCACAGATGGTTCAAACCTTAGAATATGCCTTAGTACATACTTTTACATAAAACTCTTCAAGAGGCTCAGAAAATCTTCACTTTTCTTTCCAATATCACCTTGCCATGTTAACTCATACATGTTCTTCAGCTCTCAAACCCAGAATTTTTTGAGTTTTTGAGTCTTTGCCCTCTCTTCAGACATCCTCTAGGCAAGGTTATGACCCTCCTATTAGGCTTCTGATTCTCCACCAGTTTCATGTTGCATTTTTCAGTTTGTATTTATATATTTCGTATACTATACTAGATTTTAGACTCCATGTAGTTTAGGATTGTGTGTTCTGCTCCCAGCACAGTGCTTGACAGTCTGAAGCTCCTAAATAAAAACTGTGACTACGTCATGTCGACCATACTATTGCTGACTCACATGTGAGTGCGTGCACGTGTGTGTGTTATTTTATGGCAAATAAACAAACTTCCCACTGAGAATTAATTTTTATGATCTAAAATCTGACAGGAGGACAATGACTTTCAAACCGAAAAAAGGTACACCTTTTCAGTTATATTCATTAGGTTTAGTAAGATCTCAAATTGTCTTCTAAACTAAGAAATAAAGTCATAAATTGTCTCTTCTAAAACTAGGTAATGAAAAATAAACATAAAAAGGATCTGTAAGTTTCCATGGCCATTCAGAATTCCCAATAAGCACCCATTATAAAAATCCACCAGCCAAAAGTAGTTATGATTTAAAAAGACAGCACACATCCACAGAATGTCAGTACACAGAGAACTCTGAAATAAAATCCAAAAGGCAAGCACAATGCAAAGTTATATTGCTTACTTTATTTAATCTTATTTTCATGAAGGAGATAAAAAGCATTAGTTTCCTTCAAAAAAATCCTTCTTAAATAGTTTTAAGTAGTAGATTTATCTTTTCTAAGTGTGTAATACTCTCTGTTCCTCTTACTGACAGAATTCAATAAACCATAAATAAAATTTAATCCAACCATTCTAAATTTGGCATGGGTATAGCCTTCCTTAATCAAGCAAAATGCAGGAAAACATATGAATTTCTAAAATGTAGCCTCCTTAGTAAAGGTTGAAACTTGGAGCTATTATCCAAGTAGCCCTATAAATCATGTTAAAATTCATATGGGTTATAGTAGTTTCATTGTTGTCAGCCCAGTTTGAACCAAAGTACTTTTTATAAATATTTTTAAATATTAAGAATATCTGTATTTAAAGTAGTTAATGCAAAGAGCTGATAACTTGTCTTCTTTGAATTAACTTAAAACAGTGTAACCCTGTGAGAATACTTTGTATTTTGAAAAATAAATTCAACAATATTTAGATTTACCATTTTCAGGGCATGATAAGCATAATTGTCAACATCTAAGCATATCCAGGAGTCTTAGACTAAATCCTTTGTTCATTTCCAGAAATAAGCCAGCATGATATTTAATTTTCAAAGTTGTTGCTTTTTATATAGTGATTATAGGAAATAGAACTGCAAATTTATTAAAAGGTGTTTAAGTATGATAAATTTTTGTTTGCAAAGGCTTGAAAATTATTCTGGGGCTTGTTTTTGTTTCCTTTTGATTTAATAAATGTGTGTGTATAAATAGAGTTCTATTTAAAAGCAGTTAATAAAGAATTAGAGGGTACTTATGGTAACAGAAAAATAAGAACTTTAGTGTTGGGCAATTACCGTGGTTGTTTTGCCAATCAGCTATAAACATGAATGGAATGACAAATTGAAGAACAGACCTGTGTTTCATTATGATAGAAGACAAAATAAATTGGTTCTATGGATTTTAATTTATTATCTGCTAACCTGAAGAGGTACTTTAAGAGTTTGTTAATTTCAATTTAACTCCTCTGTCTTGAGTTTGAAAATTACAGTGTCCACAAGCATGTAAACTATCTTAATTGTTAAGGCTTACATTACATTTATTTAAGAATGTTTAATTTCAAGATTTATAAAGTGCTTGCAAAATACTGTATAAAACTGAATACATATATATAAATGTATACATTGTCTCTCTAAATTTACATATGTAAACATATGAAAAAGTATATTTTAATTTACTATTAATACTGATAATTCAGAACTATCTTTGATATTATATCAAAGAATAATATTAGCAATGGATACATTGTTGATGGAGTACAACACTCTTCATGCCTATTATTTTTCTTAAAAATGTTGATGGGAGTAATTTCAGATTCTGTTATTCAAACATGCCTTATTTATAGATCATAAATAGTTACCAATTGCTTAATTTTATTCATTACAAAAAATTATGATATTCCACTGAATGGATCAAAAGAGTTTATAATTTGGCTAAAGTTAGGAGAGGAAACAGAAGGTAATTAACAGCTGTCACATAACTGCTTTTTATCCTTTGTTTCTTTTATATCACCCTGTTTTAACTACTATTTATCTCTCCTCCATCTAAGTGATAAATGCTTATAAGAGTCACAATAAAAATATTATCATCTTTCTCTGCATGCTGGGTCTTACAAAGTTCCACACTCGTTTCACAAATGGTAGAAATTAATTATAAATTTCATCATTATATGATTGCAATTGAAAATTATCTTGAATCTGTGTATGCTTTTAAAATGACTTTTTAAATTAGAGTTTTATTAGCAAAACACTAAAGATCACTGGATATTAATTTTTAGCTAGAAGTTGGAAAAATATATCTACAAAAGCAGATTAATATTGGTCTGTGTCATATTTCTTCATATTCTGAGACTAGTGAAGGAGATATAATCTACTCAAAACCCTATATATTACTATTTACATGTTATATTTAACATTTATCATATACTTTCATAAAGAAATATGAAGAAAAATCTGAGATATTAATTTATCTGATTATTATTTTGTTTTGTTTTCTAGATACTCAAATTCCAGATTTGTCAATCAGGGCAAAGTGTATTTATAAACACTTATTTTGATAACAGGATATACTAATAAACTATTAAAAAACCTTCCCTCAACATCATAGTTTATACTGCTAATCACTATATAGGATACTGCTAATACCTACTTTCCAGGTAATTTAGAAATGTGTGACCACTATATGTAAGCTCTCTCACCCTCACTAACTTTAAAATACTTCTATCCCTTCCCATATCACTTTCCATCTCTCTTCTCTATTCTCATAAGACTTTGCAAAGCTAAACAATAAACCTAAGTTTGCTATTCCAGGTAATTCTCATTATAAACTTTGCTTTATGCCTCATATTTCTCTCTTCCATTCTAACTTCTCTTTAAACAAAATAGATATTTTCAAGTATTAGGGAGTCATTCCTGCTTAATTCTACTACTTCTATTTGGCCTGCCCCAGTCAACCAATACCCTCCATTTAAAAATGTTTATTCTCAATTGTACCCCATTATAACTGGTCTCTTATAGGTGAAAAGCAAATGATCTTCTGATTTCTAATCTCAATGGCTTCTTACATTTGTTATAAATCACATGCCTTCTAGGGAACTTTTCTTCCTTCCTGTTTTCTTCCTAACATCCTATTTCTTCCCATAAATATTTAATCAATCTATATTTTTTAAAAGTCCTCATTCTTTTCTTTCTACCTTTCCCTGTTTATCAATATCACCTTGTTAGAAATTGGAATTATTTTCTTTAGATATTAATGACAATTACAGAGGAAAACAGTGTGAAAAAGGCAAGTTTTTAAAATCTTTTGCCCTAATCTAATCTTTTTAGAATTAAAAAGTAGTCTAAAGAATGTCACCTTCAAAACTCTATGTTTTAAAAAGTCAGAAAGAAATTGATACCCTATGTTCCTCAAAACCTAACCTTAGGCTGGGTGCAGGGCCTCATATCTATTATTCTAGCACTCTGGGAGGCGGAGGCAGATGGATCACTTGAGCTCAGGAGTTCAAGACCTGCCTGAGCAAGAGCAAGACCCCATCTCTAAAAATAGGAAGTCATTGTGGTGGGCACCTGTATTCTCAGCTACTTGGAAGGCTGAAATGAGAAGATTACTCATGCCCTAGAGTTTGAGGTTTCTGTGAGCTATGATGCCACAACACTCTATTGAGGGTGACAAAGTGAGACTCTGTCTCAAAAAACAAATATAAGTAAATATTTATTGAGTAAATTTGTTGATCGAGATACTATTAACAAGAATGAGTGATGATTATGACACAATGACCATTCCAGTGACTTTCTAACCTCTTTGTCTATTACTCCGTCTTCTCTGGTCATTCTGTCCTTCCTCCAAAACCCACAATATAAGATCCCCACCAACATGAACCTTAGCTTCTATCTTGATGATTACCTCATACGTGGTAGACTCTCAGAGCTCCTTCATCATCTCTGTAAAAATGACTGCCAAATCTTAATAAATCTCTCTCTTGAAAGTTCCAGATCCTTATTCTCATTGCCTACATGCCATTTGTGTCTGTCTGCCAGCATCTCAAATTCTTTTCATCTGCAAAATCAGTTCCATTATTTCATATGTCTGGACTCAATCTGCCTTTTTCTTGACATAACTGTATTTTTAGTTTTACTTCCATATTTCCATTAAAACTCAAAATTTTATAATGGTGTGAATTTCGTCTTCTCACCTCTCAACCAATGTGGTATTTCCTTTAGCTTCTACTTTCAGAATTAATCTTTCCTCAAGTCAGGCAATTCCTTTCAGCCAGCCAAATCTCACTGTTGGTCTTCCCTTCATACTGCAACATATCTTAACTGAACATGTGACCTACACTGTGATGTGTTTGACCTGTACTTCACAGAAGTTCTGAACTAATATTCCAGAAAACAAATTTCAATTATAGAACTGTCATGTTAATCATCTATCAACTTCTCATTATATGCTGCTATACAATGCCCTCATATTCTACCCAAACATTTATCATTTATCCAATTTGATATGCACAATCCTTCCTTTAGACCTTTGGTAAATTTATCTATCCCTATTGTCCAGTCGCTTCATCTTGCCTTATTAAAATGACTATGATTAATGGACTCCGCTGTAGTCAATCAAGTATATCCTTTATATCCCACAATAGGACCTCTCTCTAGGAACACACACAGCACTTTCCTGGCACCTCAAGGAAAGCATTCACATTTTACCTTTTATCATTATTATCTGTATAATTTTCCCATGTTCACTGCCCATTCTTGGTTCTAAACTCATTGAAAACCATGCAAATTGTGCAGCTCTTTATCAAATAGAAGCTCAATAAATATTGATTGAATTATGTTATCCAAACAAAGCCTCACCAAAAATTAAGATAATTTATTAAAATAATACATGTTGCTCCCTCCATATTTTTTATACAAGTCAGGAAAATAGCTTAAGAATAATAAACAGCTAGACAATTCCTTGTAACTTCCTCATACAACCATGAATAGAATGGGGAAGTAAATTCATGGGAATTAGTGAAGCATGTTTAAATCACCAAGGAAAACATTACTATATTACTAGTTTTTTATCACCCCTGAAGGGGCCTCAAAATAATTACAGTAATTTATGAACAGTCTATCTTATCCCCAACTACAAATTAAAAATAGGGAAATAGTGAAAATGTTCTATAAGCCAAAACCTGCTAATTAAAAACAACTTACCTTATAACTAAGATAACCAAGAAGTATTGTTTCAAATAGACTTATCAATGCCACTGAAACCTAAAATATAAACGAGTAACTTAATGAGAAAATTCAATAAAATTAAAACATGTATTTATGATCATGTTATTAACTTTATATAAAAATATGTGCCTATATGCATATACATTTTTATGATATATAGTGTTCATATGATATAGGAGGTAGTAGGAGGCACTTTAACTTCTACAAATAGGTGGCAGGCTTTAGGCTAGAGTTTTCTGCCCCTCTACACTACAGCTTAGTTTTTATAATTTCTAAGATTCACTAAAAAATCTTTTTTTTGTTTTTCAAACTGTTAAGGAAGGACCAGAGTAGTCAAGACTAGCTGGATTCCACATAATACATAAAAAAAGAAAAAAAAAATGTTATTTTGTGTGTGTTCCTAACATATACAGTTGCACACACTGCCCTGCCACAAATAACTGCTTTTGTGCAACAGCTGTACCATCCTCTCTACTAAAATCAGCATTTCACTTCAGAAATACAGAAAATGAAAGAACACAAGCTTCACCTTCAACAAGATATTTAATCCTGTCATCCACATCAAACAAAATGAAATGGCAACATCCATGAACACTAAACGAAATAGACCACATCAACACTTCAAAATACTTTCAGGTTTTATTTGAAAATTCCCTTTGTACAGAAGGAAGTGCCAGTCCTGCGTCCTCCTAGACACTCTTTGGTCTGTCTTTTCACTGTATTCTCTGTTGCATATTCAACCTCTACTGCTCACCAAAAGTCCATCATTGCAACAGAAAAAGTAATTAGAAAAAATAATGAAATTATTCTTTGCTCTCTACTCTAAACACATAAGGATAAATAGAATCAAATACACATAAACAAGAATGACTCTGATAAATGTATTCATTTATAGATTTTTGAGGGTTATGGAAATCTGAATGAGAGAGGCAGATACCCTTGAGATTAAATTGTGTCTCTTGTTGGAATAAAAACTTTTGAATTTAAATGAATATTCAAACATAAGTAAAGTGAAAACAGATGAATGCATAACAGTGTAAATAAAATATGTTCCAAAGTGCATGTGGTAACCAGGCATTTATTATGATAGGAAACTTAAACCTCTAACTCCCTATATTTTCTTTTTTATAGGTAAATAATGCTAAATGTTTACTAGAACAATTTTATCGTAACTCAGAATACTATTTAAAAAACTGAATTATTATGGTTTTTAAAATACTACTATCAAATAAAACAATTTTAATAGATCAAAATATATTTCACAATAACATATGACTTTTCATGAAATATTAATTTTTTAAATGTGTACTTAATTAAAGGATACTACAGGAATCTAGATCAGATACTAGAAAACCAAATTTTTAATAAACACTTTAATACTTCAGAAGGATTATTTATAATTAATGTGACATGACAAAAAAAACAGTGTAAAAAAATGCATAAAAAATTGACTTCAACAAACTGAAATATCCAGACATAGTAAAAATTTGATTTCATAGTTACAATCAAAATGCCTGCATACAAAATGCATTAACTTCACAATCAGCATAATTTTAAAAGGCAAATAAAACATCAAATTTAGAAGTAGTTTAAAGACTGTTTTTAAGCAATGACTCTCGAAGTCTTTCCTCTAAACTCCACTGTCTTCAATATCCAATTCCTTTTTATGTTAATGATTCTGTTCTTCCAACTTATTTCTACTTAAAAAAATAGAAAATAAAAGCATCTGTAGGAAGCATACAGAAGTAAAGGAGACAGAAGCTTATAAAAAGACTGCTAGGCATGAAAAACAGTAGAAATAGGAATAAAAAAAAGGGTACTGGGGCCTCTCGGGAACACTTCAACAATACAATTCAGACTTGCTGTTCTCTTGCTCTCTTTTTCATTTTTTCTTATGGGCACCATTTCTGCTAGGAAATAATATTTGTTTTATTTACAAAACTAACTGGTTAGGAACTAAGCTATTACTACTGGTGATGTGAGTCATTCTTTAATTTGTTTATTCCTTTAACAATTACTTGTTGAGATTCTATCATGCCGTGAAAACTGAAGATACAAAGTAAAGAAGAAAATATGTTTATGAATGCTTGATTAACTGTAAATAAAATCTATAACAAGAGTACCTAACATGATTTGGGAAAACTTGTAAAGTCTTTTTTTTTTTTTTTTGCAGTTTTTGGCTGGGGCCAGGTTTGAACCCGCCACCTCTGGTATATGGGGCTGGCACCTTTCTACTTTGAGCCACAGGCACCTCCCAGAACTTGTAAAGTCTTAAAATACTAGTTTACTTTGGCTTTCGCCGCACTCTCAAAAGCACCCCAAAATCTAATCCTAATCACTAAGAAATTTTCAAAGGGTAGAATACAGGACTCAAGTAAACAAGAATAAAAATAAAAATAATAGTGTAAGATGTGCATCAAGATTAATTCAATGGGAAGACAAACTCATTTGGAATATCAAGAATTTTCTTTCTACTTATAGTTGTCTGTGACATGTAATTAAATCCAGAAATACAGAGATAAAACAAAATTGTACATAACCTGTAAGCCCCATAAAGGTAGACTTCTGTTCACCCAAAAGATGTGAGACCTATAAAAAGAATTAAAAGTGTTAGTTTTAAAATGTAAAAATTCCATTCACTGGTAAAATTCACATTTGAAGTATTTGAATGATGCTAGGATTAAAAAGGCGGAATATCAACATTAACATTAGAAAAACATTATTTTTTGTTTTCTTTTTGCTAATATTCATTTCTATTCCAGCAAAAACATTTTCAAATTTCATTTGTGGTCATTGTTAATAATATATCATATAATGAGCCATCCTTTAAAGAATGATATGGCAGGTTAGAAAAACATCAACCCATCTACTAAATAATTCTCCATGGAAAACTCACTTGAGTTCTGTATATTCTAATACTTCATTGTTATTGTAAACATTTGGTATAAATATTTAAGTATTACAAATCCAATAGTGTAAATATTCAGAATAAAGTTAGTAACTCAGAGTACACAGCACATAATATTTCAGATTTTTATACAATATTTAACATACTACTAAAAACCCTGTGACTAGGGTCAGCATAGAACAGTTAATCAGATAAATTGGCCTTAAATGTCTCTTAATAATGATAATTTCTGCCATTAAAAAATGCTTGTACTCTGCAAAGAACACAATAACACTTTTATGGAGTCACTAATTCTAATTTCTGCTATTTTTATCCCATCCTTAACTAACATCATTTGGTCTCCAAAAGAATAAAAGAGTTACTCACAGCAATCTACCCCACTTGGGGAAAGATGAAAAGACTTAGTTACATTTTCCTGCCTTCCCATGTAAATAATAACCCCCCCCAAAAAAAAATAAAACAAACCCACTCACTCTTTACATTATGAGGGGTGATAATTATTCCATAAAGTAATAAGTACACTTTTAAATGTTTAAGTCATTTTCTTGTTTTAATAGACCATTCAAAGAAACTACCTAGCATATTAGACTAAAGTGCTCTCGGGAGTTCCAGAATGTCTTGTCTTCCAGGCTGACATCTTCAGTTGTTCCAAAGACTGCCAACTTTTCTCCAAATAACCGTCCTCTTTATCACATCCCAGTGAATGGTATGAAATTCCATTGTGTTTAGCTAATCAAAGCTTAAGATTCATTTTTTTTTTTTTTGCACAATGAGATTTTTTAAATTCAATTTTTATTAAATTATAACTGTATATTAAATTATAACATTTTTGGAGTACAATGTGATGATTTGATATACAACGTGGAATGTTTAAATCAAATTGATTAACATAATCATCACCTGACTTTACTTATTTTTTGTGGCAAGACATTTATAATTTACTCTTAGTTGTTTTGAAATGTACCCTTGCATAGTAAGCATCATCTTATAATTTCCTTTCTTATATCTGTAAATACTTAATCCATCAGACATAAAATCTTTTCAATCTTTCCCACCAAATACCTATAGATTTCATCCATATCTTTTCATCTGTACAATCACAACCACCTTATTCTACCATTTTTCATAATTATACTCATGAAAAAACCTACCTGTGAGGATCCTGCCCCTTCTTTTGCCTCTAGAATTACTCTCCAAATTGCAATGGTACTGATTCTTTTAAAATGCATTTTAAAAAACACTACCCTATGGTGTATTGGGTTTAGCACTTTTGTTAGGATAAAGACCAAAATTCTTGACATGGCAGTCTTAGATTAATTCAAGTGTGGCATGGTCCTTCTTAGTATAAGTCCTGTCTACATGCCCTTCTCTCACCTTAGAGCTCTCAGTTCACACGTCTGTTTCTCAAGGAAACCTTTTCTATGGATTACACTTGAACAACTTTGGCAATTAACCTGGCCATGTCACTTACCATATATAACCTGTTACTCATCTCAGTCAAAACCTGTATTTACTTCTCAACTTCTTTAGTATCAATCTTCTTACCAAATTACAAGTTCCATAAGATCAAAAAATACGTCTATAAAACTCACCATGATAAACGCCATGTCTTGCTGAGTACATCCACACAGCAGACCAGGCAGCTAACATCAGTGATAAATGGTGCCAGTTAAGACATATGGCTAAGGAGTTCAGCAACACTGTCCTTTCCAAAATATTTCTTTCATATTCTCAGTAACATTTGAGAAATCAGACCAAAACAAGGCAAGTCAGAGTAAAGAGGGATATATGCCAGTTTTTTTTTTTAGATATAAAAAATCGTATGTAAGAGAAACTACCAAATAGCCAAATAGATAGCAATCCCTAGAAAAATTAGAAACAAATTGCTAAACACATGTTTTTAAGTACTTTCACAGGGAAATGTGACATTAATACAGACTTACTAAAATTTAATTATGCCAAACTAACATCATAACTAAAGTCCGGGGCTTATCTTGGTAAGCCATGGAAGTACCATAAAGAATTTAAATTTAAATGAGATTTTGGAAAAAAGACCCCATTATTTTTTAGAGAAGATTATGTCATGTGAAATTATAATCCTATAATTCTGTTTCAGAATCCATAAAAAAATTGACAAATCTCTGATATATAAATTTCAATGTAAAATGAGACCACCCATAGGAAATCATCTTCTTCATCTATTTGCTTAACACTAGATTAGATAAACCAATAGATAGAAATGTATTCATTTTTGTAAAAAGTTAGTGTCCAAACTCTCCTTCAGGAAATGGACTTCTCACAACAGAAAGGAGGTGGGATCTACTCTGCAAATTCCTAGATATTCTCCAAAACAAATGAGGGGTGAAACTAAACCTGACAACCAGATCACAATTCCAAATGAAGCTTCAATCTCATTGACAAAATTAAAAAGCAGTAGGAAGAAAGAAAACACATACAGGAATATCTATTGCAGTATACTTATAGCATGAAAGTAACTGGAATCTACCTGAATATTTAACAACAAAGGAAATAAAGTAGCAATCTTGATCATTCTCATCAACTATGATAATAAAAATACTATAAAACAGACTTAAGTCATTGATAAATAAAGTGCTGGTTGTATCACTATGTATGCATCATGTGTGTTAGGAGAATTTGTAAATGATCAGTCTTCAAAATGCTAAAACTACTTATTTCCAGCTATTATGATCTTGGAAAATTTTTACTTCTTTTTCTTCCCCATATGTATTTATATCGTAACAAGCATGAGCCATTTATAAATAATAAAATGCAAACCCAATTAAGCTTTTTAAAAATACAGAAAAAAATAAGATTTAAAAGACACATATATTCTCATTTAGTTATTCAGAATTAGACTAAGTCTACAGATAAACACATGCGTGAAGCATTATTGTGAAAACCGGAAGAACTGTACCAAAAAATGGAAGGAAACAGAAGTGGTTACAGAAGTTAACAATATGTGGCCTCAGCCACTTTTCACAGCATACTTATGGTCTCTCTTAAAGGTAGGATAATAGATGCTAAAAGGGTCAGATAAGCTTTGGCAGCTGAAGTGGGAGTCCAGGGGGGTGAATATATTTAGCAGAATAATAAAGTATTTGCTAACTACATGAAAGTAGCAGGGTCAATGTCTGAGATATAATTCATATGAAAGGATTTGTTGCTCACCAAGTCAAGACGGGCTCAAAGACCAATGGTTCCTCAAAATAAATGAATGCAGGCTTATATTGTATTAAAACAATAAACAAACAAACCAAGCAGAGTCGTAAATTATGAATCTTTCCTAATCACAACAACTATTAGGAACTGAGTACTAGGTATTACTCTAGGCCCACATTTCAAGAAAAACATATAAAATTTAATATGCACCAAAAAACAAAGTTACTAGGATATGAAAGCATATTCAATATATTAAAAAGAGTTTTCAGCAGCTAAATCTTTTTCAAAGGATTGGAAATACTTAACCCCAGGTTAGGCAAACAACTGTCAAGGGTGTTGCCCAGAGGACTAATTACTGATTGAAGGAATGAACATTAAGGGCCTTTCTCTGGCTGTGTCAGAGGTGACTTTCACTCATTATCAATATTCAACCTCCCACTTCCATGGCACAGAGTGGAGTGCACAAAGCCACTCTTCAGCCAGACCACATTTTTCAGTCTTTTTGTCAAGATACAATGATGTGACTGATTCTCACATGAGATCTAGGTATAAAATACAAGTAAAAATTACATCTGTCTTTGCTCACTAGAATTTTTTAAGTATATGTGCCATTTCCTTGCTCTTTCTTTCTGAAAGCTGGATGTAAAGGAGTCATGCAAAATTAAAGTGATTTACACATATAATATTATACTTACCATAATATGATTTTTAATTGTGTGTGTGAGAGAATCAGTATTTGGAGAAAAGATCCACACTTAGCAGAAATATTAGTATTAGACTCTAATAAAATAAAAACGTTCTTTTGAATTTTTAGATTTTTTTATAAGGGTACTTAGAGTTACTTTAATCTTTAAAAAATAATCAATATGCATGAAAGAGGAAAATTCTGCATTAAAATATTTATTCCTATAGGTTATCAAATATTTAAAAGATATTATCAAAATCCTGTTTCTTCTTTTAAAAGGTATTACCCTAAAGAAGAAAAAAAATCTTTAAAATTTAAAACTCACCTGAACATACCATTTGCTTTATTAGAAACTGATTTTTAATGCAAATCCAAATACCATAAAATGTAAGCATGTTCATGTGCTTCCTGCTTTCACCACTATCATTTGCTGCTAATGAGTAATAATCACTTAAACAATTTTAAAAGTAGAAATGGACTGTGAGTTTTGACACCGTGTAAAACTGCATCCATCAGCAGGCAATGAATCAATGCTGATGATTCATCTTTCAATGTAACTTATAAACTAGGTGCCACAGGGACGTTTCCTTTTCTAACACCTTCAAATCATTTATTACACTGTGTCTACATCAGAGTTAGTTTGCCATTTGGACAATGTCATACACTAAGAGAAAACTCTTATCATATCCTTCAGTTAGTTATCTTATAATTTTTCTTATCAGTTTTGATTTCTAAAAGGGACTTAAAGTAAAGCACAAAATATTTGCAGATTTATCATGTCAGAAGCTCTAATTAAATTAATCTCTTCTTAGTTAGCCTCATTATTTTAAAATAGAGCCTCAGCACATAAAGGCCATTTCTGTTTTTCATTAAGCAATACTGCATTGACAATGAGAAATAAACAGAACATTGTACTCAAAATGAAGACATAAGTTAGTTTGTTATGTTTTTTAATCACAGTAGTCTGATTTTTTAAATGTATATCCTTTATAATTATGGCTGAATATTCTCAGAAATATTACATAGAAGTTATTGCAGGAAACTTCGTGTCTCTTAATGTTTCCAAATAATATAATTTTACTCTGCTATCAACAACCAGTACTTTATTTTATCTTTAGAGCAGTGGTTCTCAACCTTCCCAATGCTGCAACCCTTTAATACAGTTCCTCATGTTGTGGTGACCCTCAATCTTAAAATTATTTTCATTGCAACAAAATGAAAATAAGTAAATTAATAAACAAGTGAAATTAATAAATAATTTAATAAGTCTAATAAATTAGTGTCATTTAACTCAAATAAGATAAAAAACTGCACAGGGTAAAACTGAGACTTGAGATTTTCATTGCAACAAAAATAATCTTAACGTTGGGTTCATCACAACATGAGGAACTGTATTAAAGAGTCACTGCATTAGGAAGGTTGAGAACCACTGCTTTAGAGGGATTCAATCATGACTCATTTTATGATTTTCAGTTCTTTCTAGTATACATTTTATTTATAAATCACCAAGTTTTTAAAACATTTTTGGTGTGGTTATAGAAGAATTTGTTATTTTAACCATTTTAATAACACAGACAGAAAAATATAATATGTACTGACATGTCCAGGCAATGGTCCTCAATCATTTACATTGAGCAACACTATCAATAAAATTGTTAAACATCATTCCATTAATTCAGCAACACACACGGACCTGTCATGTCCTGTGCTAAATATTTCAGCTACAAAGTCAGATGCAACATGGCCCCTGTACACAGAGAGGACAGAGAAGGACAGAGAAGGGAATGGTAAAATGGCCCCTGCACACAGAGAGCACACAGAGAGCACACAGAGAGGACAGGGAAGGGAATGGTAAAATCAAGGGCATTGCATCGGAAGGTAGGAGAGATGCTTAGAGAGTACCCAGGAGACAATCATAATCAAAATGGAACTGGCTCTCAGGGGGTGATACCGGGGAACTGACTCAGAGTAAAAGTAATTAAAGAAGCTGTGTTCATAAAGGCCCAGGAAACCTGTAGCAAGTCATAAAAGAGTAGGTTGTGAGGGGCAGGAATGGAAAACAGATATCTCAGAAGAGGGAGCAGAATGCTTAAAGGCCCAAAGACAAGGGAGTGCAAAGTATATTTAAAGTCACTTCAAAGGCTGGGTGCAGTAGCTCACACCTAAAATCCTAGCACCCTGGGAGGCCAAGCAGGTAGATTGCCTGAGCTCAGGAGTTCAAGATCATCTGAGCAAGAGCAACACCTCATCTCTAAAAATATCTGGGCATTGTAGTGGGTGCCTGAAGTCCCAACTACTAGGAAGGCTGAGGCAAGAAAATCACCAAGGGTTTATGGTTGCTGTGAGCTATGACACCACGACATTCTGTCAAGACAAAGTGAGACTCTGTCTTTAAAAAAAAAAAAAGAAAGAAAGAAAGAAAGAAAGAAAAAAGTCACTTCAAGTAGGTGAACAGGGCCAGAGGAGGAGATTGGTAGGGAGAGATAAGCAAAAGTTAGATAAAGCAATTTTATTTACTCATTTCACTTATTCATTCATCTATTTAACAAATAATTACTGGTTGCCTAATTGGTGCCAGGCTCTGGGGATTTAGACAATGATCCGTGCTCTCATGGAGTGTCTCTTCTCAATCGTATGGAATACACAGATAACAAACAAAAAGAACAAGAGGAATACATAAAAGAGATAAAGGCAATGGAGAAAGAAATAAAAAAGAAAAAGAAAAGGAACTATACAGGGAGTCTCGCGAGATTACAATTTTAAACAAGATGCTTAATATGATTTTGAGGAAAGATCTGAGGAAGTTCACCTTATGTTTTCTGATGGAAGAGAATTCCAGACAGAAGGGAAAAGGCCCTCTCAAGGCCCTCTCAAGGCCCTAAGCCAGGGCATCTGGTATGATCCAGGGCAATGAGGAGGCCAATATGGCTGGAGCAGATTGGGTGAGGGATGAAGAGTGGGAGGTGAAGTTAACGGGAAAACAGGGGTGCTCACAGGCCATGGTAAGCACTTTGGCATTCAAAGCAGTTACAGCAAGATGTGACTTAGGCTTTATAAGAATAACTCCTACATTAGGTATATACCAAAGGGAGCAAAGGCAAAACTAGTGGGACTAATTAGGAAGTAGGTTATGCAGTAATGCAGGTGAGCGAAGGTGGCTCGCACCAGAGTGGTGGCATGGAGAAGTGATTACATGCCAGGTATATTTTAAAAGCAGAAATGACAGAATTTTCTAAGGGGATTGCATATGCTGCTGACAAATAGAGAAGTTAAGAATGACTCCAAAGCATTTGGCGTGAGCAGCTGTTAGGATAGAGTTGTCATCCACTGAAATATGGAAGGCTGTGAGAAGAACCTGGTTTGGGGGAAGGATGGAGTTGTCATTCATTGAGATGAGGAAGAGCTAAGAAGAAGCTGATTAGAACATGGAAAGTCTAAAATGTCTATTAGACATCCAAGTAGAAAAGCTGAGCACACAGGTGGACTTGGGACAAATGAAACAGCACTGGCTTCCTGTGGTCACTTAGTTAAACAGAGATAGCATAAAAAGATTGGTCCTGAGAATCTCAAAATAGAGAGTGGCAAGCATGAGAAAATCTCTGCTTCTTTATGTGCAAGGTGAGAATAATAAGATTAAGTATAGACTGAAGGAAATGACACATGTAAATCTACTAGTTTAATGCTATAAAATAGCAGGAACTCCAAAATAAACAATCTTTTCACAGATTGAAAATTCCCTAAGGATAATGAATGTTCCTAAGCATTTCTGCATATCTCACCTTACAGAATGTGACTGGCATACGCTAAATACTCAATAAAGATACAGTAAAATATTCATAATCATATTTCATTGAGTATAATTATATAAAATAGATTACTACATGATAAAACTTCATTTACTGATCTTTAACTTATCTCCAAAGCTTTGAATAAATACAGAATCATTTTTACTATGTAAGCAAGCGAAACAACAAATTCATATAAATACACACTATGAGCTTGCTTCCCACTTTGCCTTCATCTTTTCATTTTTTTAATTTCTTAGAAAAAACTTCCACATGAAAAAATAATTGTACTAAAATAAGTTATCAAATTTAAGGTTTCTGCTTTGAAAATTATTATAAATTTAATCACTAGACAAGTGTCCAAGATGATGACAAAATAAAAATTATGCATACAATTACACAAGTAGTACCCTTCCCTAATGCTTCTAGCAAAGGACAGAGACTAATTAGGAAAGTCTATAAAGAGAAATATAATTTAGTAAGACCAATAGGATTGTGAATGAAAAATAAGTTAAATTAATAAATTAGTGTCATTTAACTCAAGTAAGATAGAGAACTGTACAGGGTAAAACTGAGACTTGAGATAATTAGGCCTCTTAATTATGCTGGGGTATCGCCTTTCACAGGTATTAACTACAGTACTATGTGTAAGTGAAAATATCTGTAAAACTGCTATAAATTAGAATAAACCTTTAGAGAATATATGTAAAATCAAAACTAGAAAGTCATTCAGGACTCTAAAGAGACTTATGCATCTTAAACAATTACTTAGCATTTTGACTAGCAATAAAAGTTTTCTGGTTCAAAGTCCAATGTTGGCATCTTACAAATAGATAAACAATAAAAGATATCCTTACAAAGATCTTACCAAAATAGCATTCATGTTGTGTCTGTGAGTTGGATCAATTTAATTTGTGAAAAATACCTAAAATGTCCTTGAAAAAGTAAGTTCTATAACATCTTTTAAAATATAATTCAGTTAAAAATAATGCAGAGAATTTTGCTGAAGGTCAAAAATATCTTACCATTCATTTCCTTGTGAAGGGCTTTCTAGTAGTACTCGGATTATGTATAACAAGCAGCTTAATAATTTGAGAGAAAAATTGAACAGGCGTATTCTTAAACCTTTAAACAAAAAATAAAAGTTTGATTTTTCATTTGAACTTAGTTCACAAAAGACTAAGAATTGTCAAAAGTATCAACTTTAAGTACAGCACTTAAATTGTATTTAGAAGCTACAATACTATAATTGTCTAAACTCTCTGAGGTTCTTGGTAGCTGAATTTTAATTACCTGAATATTAAAACAAAAAGTGAATTTGACAAAATGCAGGAACTGCAAATGACAGAGCATATTATCTATACTGAGAGTATATCTAGGTTTGAACCATTTCGAAGCCACAAAATGTACATACAGCCAAGGTTAATTCAAGTATGCTTATCAAGTTTAAGCATTTTATATATCATAAATTTGGGGATAATGTTTAGCTAGCCAGAAAATCTAGCTGCTTATAGATTCACAGTTTAAGTTATAAATCTTGTACCTTTACAGCACTTTATAGATTATAGAGAAATTATAATTGCACTGATATAATTATGTTATATATTTAAGACTTATTATAAAATTGTATGATGGTATATAAAAGTTATATAATTATAAATTAATTATATTAAGTATCATCATATAATAAAATAGAGAAATCATAATAGCATATGCTAGGAAACATACACAGATATTCTCTCACTCACACAAATTTTTTAACTCAAGCAATTAAATCTTATTTTTACCTAGATTATATACTCATGAAATCTTAAAATTCTTGTTGAAATTAAAACTATCATGTGTGTATCTTTTAAAGCATGTAGGTCACAATTATGGGGCCTACAATATTTAATGGTAAAGAGTATTAAAATTAAGCAAAACATACATAAAGTGTGATTAACAGGAGCCTTACCTTCCCTGCAGTTAGTTACCTAGTGGTATCTTATTCATGCATTAGGAATAAAACTTTGATAAAGGCTTTCCTATAATTATTACATAAGAAAATCTAGAAATGAAATGTCACCTTTTTTCCACTCTGCTGTAGGTGAGAGTACTTGTGATAACATTTCTCAACAGTAAAAAGTCAATGCTTATTATAATAATAGTGAAATTTTTCTTAGATTTTCCCATTAAAATACTGAGCACATTTTATGAGTTAGATTTCTCATAAAGTTTTTTAAATTACTAATCAATTGTGCTGGTTTATTAAATGGGTCTCCTCAAAGACTGCTTAGACTGCTGGTGAGGTATTCAAACAATGTATCCCATCTTTTCTCTCCTAGAAAACCTTCTATACAGATGACTTAGTTCTTTTGGGTAATCTCTGTTGGGAGGGTTTCTTGGAGATTCTAAAAAGTCAGTTAGAAAGACATTAGTTATTACTAACCTTAACCTGGAGGTTAGCCTATAATTAGGACCATCTGACCAGTAGGCCTTAATATTCCCTATAGTCAGTATTTGGGTAAGTTCCCACAAGTGAGGCTCCTTGCTTTGAATCCTACCTAACAGAACCACAGGTGAATTTTGACCCCCCAAAAGATTCCAGGGGTCAAAATTTACAGAGCTTACACCTATCTGACATGCAGACCTCTCCATTTCTTGTTGATACTTTAATCAATAAATAATTGCATATTGGCTTATTATGTATGGCTTTTATAAAACATGTGGTGTTATGGAAGACCACAAGTATCACTGACCCCTAGACCTTGAAGGAGTTGAGGAGGGTAGTGACTGTGCCAATTGCAAGCCTTCTTGAAGTTTCAATATTTCCCAAATTTGTTTGATGATAAAAAAAAGAAAATCACTAGGATATTAAGCTCTGAGATTCACTCTACACTTCCTAATTCAAAATCTCTAGGCTAAGAATCTCCAAGAATCTGTCTGTTTCAGAGAACTCTAGATATTTCTCAGAATTAGGCATGACTAGAAAGCATTAAACACTTCCTTCACGAAATCAAACTAATTATTCCCTATTGTGGCCCATCAGAATCACTAGAGCTTTTTCAAGATACAATGTCTTAGATGTTCTTCATAGTTCGGAGACCCCCTCATTTATTTTCCTCAATGTTTCTCCTAACCAAGATAGTTTGCAATCAGAAGTCTACTGATTGATATGGGACTTGGAAAATTAAAGATGTTCAAGAAGAATTAACATCACTACATGTAATGCCTATAGTTTTCTATAATTTTACTGCCCAGCGGACTAGCAGACAAGATTTTCAATTTTATCCTTCATATAAATTATTTTGCAAAATACTGCACAATGAAATTTTTTGAGGTAAAAATAGATACAAACACAAAGAGGGAAATTAAACGAATGACTTACTTGATCTCTGGTTTTTAATGAAAAATAATTTTAGTCTCTCTTTAAATGTATTTTCATTCATATAGAATTCAACTTGTACCCTGCAAACAGAAAATAAAAACATATAAACTTATGTAAGTTAAATTATATCTTAATTTTTATGAAGATTAATACATATAAACCCTTTTGTAATTATCTAATTAACATAAAGACTAATATATATCAAAATTTATTTTATTTAATGCATTATACTATATTTGGGTTAATTCCCTGACATTAAAGATGAGAATTGAATAAAATCCTGATTTCGGCTAGAGAAGCAGTTATTTTCTAGTTTTAAAGATACATTCAATTCAAAAATCATATGCAGTCAATTCAATTGTCTGTATTAATGAAGGTAAATGAGTGGTATGAATGATTAAAAATAGTAATAGCAAATAAGTCTTTAATATGTGTTTTGGGTATAATTTAGAATCACTGCTTTTGTAATTTTTTTTCTCTCTATTGTAAGAATCAACTGAAGCTTGAAAAATTAAATTTGGGCAATAGGTCCCCAGATGTCTAAATCAGAATCTTAAAGAATGGCACGTGAAAATCAATTCTTAATAAACCCTTCACTGCACCTAGAGCCTGTTTGCAACACCACACTGTACAATGCTTTACTTTCTTACTAATTTATTTAGACTAATATTAAGATATGTATAGATCAGCAAAGAAATGGTAGTGGCAAGTGGAATATTAAAGTTATCATATATGCAGACCCGACTGCTCAATTAATAAACTGAAAATAATAATAAACCACTATAAAATAGTATCACCAGTCTCAAAAATAGTACTATTTTATAAATGCATTTGGTTTGTCTCTAAATTCTGGCAAACTATTTTTCAGTAATAGAGCATAAACAATATTTCCAAAATAGTGAATGAAAAGAAAAATTCTGACATTATAATCACCATTTTTCTTATTAAGCACAGATATATTCATTCAAAGTTAGACTATCAAAAATAGCTAAGAAAATATTTTAATGTTTACATAAATAACAAAGATTTGACTTTAATTTTCCTAATATCACAACCCTTTATATATGTAATCTGTATAAACTAGATACATACCTGAGAGAAAACTGAGAGGAAAAAATAAACTAACATATGAAGATGTTCATGAATTATGGAAATATTTCACTATTATAGTAATTTAAAATCTCTCTATTCTGTATATTCAAGAAGACCCACGAATAGTTTAAAAGAAGCCTTGCGCCACAAAAGGAAATCTCTTTTTTAATCAATTGCACACAAAGCTTTATATGTTAGACTGTCTAAAAGATATCAATGTTCTCCTTTATCTCTTCCCTAAAAAAAATCATTCTAGCCAATACTTTATCATTTTTTCAACTTATATATAAATTGGAAAAAAAAGAATCTAGAAAGATTTTCACTTGATAATCTCTCTAGAAGGAAGCCTTAAGAATTGCAAAGATGTCTTTCAGCAGAACACTTCGGTATGCATGTCTGTGTACAAGCTCACATCCCTACTAATTTATATACTCATGAAAGCTCATACACAAACGCAGACACAAAACTATGTGACTGTTTTGGAAATCCATGGATTTCAGATCTGTTTCCCTTGTTTATCAAATGAAAAGTCAGTTCATTTTAAATAAAGTAACTATAATACTAATATCAAACTAAATTAGTCAAAATTTATTATGGATACAAAACCAAATTTGAGAGGACATATGGCTATTACACAAGTAATTTAGCAAAGGCCATGCAGATTTGCTTCCTAGAATTATCAAATTTTAAGAATATGAAAATTCTTAAATTCCCTTCTTCGGATAATATCTGGAGTTCAGTACTGGCTATATAACAGTAGAGTATTTTTTAACTTAAATGAGATCTAAACCCTGAACCCAAATTATACAGAATCCGGAAAACATATTGAATGGGGAAAATAGAAGACTCTAAAATAATTTAATAAATATGAAGAGTTAAGAGTCATATACACAATGGTAATCTTTAAAGATTAAAATAGCCAATGTTAGTAAAATGGGAGTATAAATAATGTGATATTCTATTGAATAGAACTCAGGAGAGAAATAAACAAATTATGACTGAGAATTTTTTTTTTTTTTTGAGATAGAGTCTCACTATGTCACCCGCGGTAGACTGCCGTGGTGTCACAGCTCACAACCACCTCAGACTCTTGGGCTTATGCAATTCTCTTGCCTAAGCCTTCCAAGTAGCTGGGACTACAGGCTATTTTTCTGTTGCAGTTTGTCATTGTTCCTTAGCAGGCCGGGGCTGGGTTCGAACCCTCCAGCCTCGGTGTACGTAGCCAGTGCCATAACCACTGTGCTATGGGCGCCAAGCCATGACTGAGAATTTTGATATGGCCATAATTGTAAAGTGGAGAATCTCCGACACACACAAATGTGCCAAAGACTGGATAACAGCTTGTAAGCCACAGTTTTTTGTTTTTTGTTTTCTGAGAGTAAAGACAATTTTGCATGATAGGAAGTGTCTCATTAAACAACTTCTGAATCTCCATCTTACTATAAAATTCTGTGAATTAAAACTCTTAAAGAATCTGATAATTTCTCCGTCAGTACTATCATTGAGAAACATGACTGATATTAAAGCATAAATTTATACAATTTTTCTAAAGCAAAAGCAGAAACAAAACAAAATATAAAAACACAAAACGAAACAAAACAAAACCAAGCAAGAACATGTTGTAATCTATGACTCCTAGATACAGAAAAATGTCAAATGACCTTCTTCCCAGAATCAAGGCATGCTAGTGATAGCATGTGCTCTCAAGACCTTTCCCATACAGTTCTCTACTGCTCAGGGATTTAGTGGAGTTTAGTGTTTATCCTTCCCATTGTTTTTCATAATTTTCACTAATTTCAAATCTTCTCTCAGTATTTCCTTTTTCATATTTAAGTGCGCTTTCCCTCTCTCCCTTGCTTCATTTCATTCTTCCCTTCTGCCTGCCAGCCAAACTTCCTTTCTTCCTTTCTTCTTTCCTGACTTTCTCTTTTTTGAATTCCCTATATCCATCTAATTTTATCTGAATTTCCTTAACAGTACAACTGTAGACATGTTGGTGTACTCTTTCTGGATCTTCTCCTGAACCAGAGTTTTTAATAATACACTGGGGCAAATCTTCCTCATCACTTTTTAAAATGCCATTTTTATCACATGCTTATGCCCAAGATAAAATTTAGGATCATTGTGTCACATTCATTCTAATGAAATATAATGGATAAGGAAAGCAAAATTGGAATGCAAGTATTACTATGTGGTATCTTCTACTGAAATATGTTCTCACTGTTTAATGATGTTATTTTATGTCCAAAGATGTTAGCTTTGTGATATTTATTTCCGAGTGTTTTAAAATTTTGGTTGCTATTTTTTAAAATGTTTTGTTTTGATCTTAACAGCCCTCTGTTTCTGATATAAATGGCTACCAACTGGCCTCCCTTATACACAGAGTTATTTTTTAATTTATTTTTTTCACATTCATTGCTTGGGTTTCCAGGCAGTCAATCACATCGCCTGGAAATGTTTTCCAATATTTCCACAGTTAAGTCTCCATTTAACGCCATCCACAAGTTCTTGGAAACTGTGACTTTAAGAGAAACAACAACTGACAGCAACAGATAACCAAAAGCTAATTGATATAAACAAGAGTTTAATTCTTATAGCATATTCCTAGTGTTTTAGCCACAGTTAAATTTGGCCCTAGGTACCTGTGGACTCGCATACATGGATTCAACCAACTAGGGATAGAAAATATCTGTGTGGAAAAAAAGTATCTGTGTTGAACATGTACAGAGTTTTTTTTTTTTCTTTTTTGTCATTAATCTGTAGACAATACAGCACAGTAACTACTTATATAACATTTATATTGTATTAGTAATACAGAGATAATTTAAAGTATACAGAGAGTTTGTGTAGGTTATACACATATCTTCCACCATTTTACACAAAAGGCTTGAATGTCTGAGGATTTTGGTATCTGTGGAGAGTCCTGGAACCAATCCCCTCTGGATATCAATAAACAACTATATATTCTTGATCCTGGGTTGCAATAAATATTTACATTTTACTAAAAATAATATCAGACATAAATGGATATTGATTGTTATTAAAAAACTGTCTTCAATCTATCAAGTTGATAGTTTGCTGTTGTTTTTAACTTATTGATTTAATAAATTATTTCAACAGTTTTTCTATTACGCAATTGTTTTGTCTATCCAGAAATAAGTTGTTTTGTTAATAATAAACTATTCTGAGAATTTATTGCTGGATTCATTTTCCTATACATTTTAGGAGTTTTCTTCTATAATCACCATTCAAAGTATCTAAGAAGACAATAACATTATTTTTATATTAATCAATATTTTATTCTTTTATTTAGGTAGATTGTTTATTTATTTATTTATTTATTTTGAGACAGAGTCTCACTCTGTTGCCCAGGGTAGAGTGCTGTGCCATCATAGCTCATAGAAACCTCAAATTTTTGGTTTCAATGATCCTCTTGCCTCAACCTCCCAAGTAGCTGGGACTATAGATGTCCACCACAAGGTCTGGCTATTTTAAGAGATAGAGTCTCAACTCCTGCTCAGGCTGGTCTCGAACTCCTGAGCTCAGGCAATCCACCTACCTCAGCCTCCCAGAGTGCTAAGATTACAGGTATGAGCCACCATGCCTGGCCTTTATTTGGGTAGACCTTATATTCTTTTTTAGACATTTATTTCTGATTTATTTTTGAGTATTTTATCATGTTCCTTACTAAACGTTTTTTAAATGTTTTGCTCTGATCTTTCGTTTTCTGTTTTCATATTGTAAATGACTACCTATTGACCTCTCTTAGATTCAGTGATTTGATTCTACATTCATTACTGAATATTACTCTTTTTTTTTTTTTTTGAGACAGAGTCTCATTTTGTCCCCGTTGGTACAGTAATGTGTCATCATAGCTCACAGCAACTTCAAACTCCTGGGCTTAAGTGATTCTCTTGCCTCAGCCTCCGAAGTAGCTGGGACTATAGGCCATAAAACCCGGCTATTTTTTTTAGAGACTAGG